TATTTCCCAACAATAAATTATATTAAAAAATACCGTTTATATTGAGAGGCGCTACCGCCCAGTATAACATGACGTTTCGTATGGTAAAGTATGAGTAAATCAGTAAAGTAGAAAATGGCTGTGTATAAGATTTAGCTTCGCTTTGTCTGCCCATAAGATACTAATGCTCACCTTTAAGCAATCGTTCTCCAAACTAATGAATAACGAATTCATTAAATTAATGACCGCATCGGAAGGGGTATTAATTGGTCAGTCGGAAAATTTTCAAATAAAACTTTTATCGTTAATCAGTGTCATTTTATATGCCTGTAGGCATAAACTGTTACGACCAGCGTCGGGTACTTGTTCCTGAAGCCAGAATGGGAGGGGTGGAGGCGGCAATCAACCACGCTGTATTCACAAAAAAGCTGCGTGTTTTTATAGGACCCTCTCGATGACAGATAGCCGAGAGACTTTTAACAGACATGGACGGGGCATTTTTCAGCGTGGCGGCTCACTCACGCAAAATCTTACAGTTCACAGAAAAGATCTGAAATAAAGCAAAAAATAAAGTTAACTTAGACTCTTCTTGTAGGTTTCGCTTTGAAGGAATGGTTGTGGTTGTATAGAGACTGAAAACGTACCGGAACATGCAAGAGTCTTTTGTAATCTTTAGATAAATTGCAGTTCAATCACAAAATGCAGGTCTAATTTATTCCGGAACTACTAGTGGCTTAAAGGGATATATGCATACAAATTATGAAAGTCAAGTTCCGTGTAGCATTATTACTTTAAATAAAGTCACCAGTTCAACGCCCAAGAATAATGTTTTGCTAGCGCGTGACACCAAAGAATTTTGGATATAGCAAACCGTTTCAGAGTGAAATTTTGTCAATCTTACAATTTGAAAATTTAATTTGAAAAATATATGTTTTTGATAATTAAACAGCGGGCCTGGTCAACTGCACTATGCTGTTCTATGATTACATGTTAGTCAGGCAAATAAACTTCTTCTTCTTGCAATCATATCCCTTAACTTCCTACCGCTCGCAGGAAGAAATCGGCATATAGAGGTCATTGTGCTGGAAAAGGGGAGCGGGATAGTTAGAGTGATAATTACTTTCATTTCCCTAGTGAAAGTCATACAATCACCACCTGGTGTTGGCCACGGAAGTGACAGTACTCTGTTAGCGTCCTCTGATAATATAGCACTGGATTTGCTAGTCGTAAAGCCACTGCCTTGGCTAATGCTGGTGTCCGGTAGACAACCTAAGAGGCTTTGTTAAGATCGATTCGATAATTCTCATCGACAAGGCGTGCGCTAGCAGACCCCGAGATTTATATATTTTCACCTTTACTTGGCCATACTGGTAGGTATGAACGTACTCTCTTTTCCGGGCGCCTCGTTCGACCCATATACCCTGCTCCACAGGAGCAATTGACCAATCGGAAATTAGGGAAGATTTAATTTGGACATATCGCTCCATTTTGATCAGCCTTTGCATAGTAATAATAAATTTTAAGTACATGTTTGCATTTAAATTCAGAGCGTTCTTATGCTCATTCATCTACTCTAACACAAATTTCTTTAGTTTCGGGAAAGGTGTCATCTTTTTATTTTTTTATTTTTGTAGACAGCTTGGTTTAAATTCATGGCATTAACTTGTGGGACATACGAAACGAGAAAAGTA